AAGGTCTAAAGTATAGTCCTCGTGGGAACGATAATCCGGATTCAAAGGTCCATTATATTACTTGTTACGATATCGTACACTTGCGATAAAAAAAATGCAACACCCCATGATCGTCCATTGATTCTGAATATGAGGTTAGGTAATCGTTTTGAATTAGATTATTATTTTAACAAAATTTACTTAGAAAAAAAAATAATGGTAATCGTGCAACGCACAATGCACCACTAGTATCTATAAAATACAAAAGCAAAAATTGTACTAGTGGGCTAAAAACTGAAAGACGCGCAAATTGAAGGAAAAAATGCACACATATTTTTTAATTTTCATTTCAATAATAAGATCATATGAATTTTCTTTCAAAAATTAGGTGTCAACCCCAACCCACCTCATTCCACACCCACACGGCCATACTCCACCTGCTACAAAAACCCTAACCTTAACCCACATTTTCACCCTCAAAACCCCTACCATCCACACAGTCCCAACCTCCACAAAAGTCGTCGGCGCCACCGTCAACGACTATTTTCCATCACTTATCGTCGGCGAAATCACCTCCCAAACACAACCACACCTTCGATTGGCCTCATAACATTATGTGGGGCCCAAAATCTGAAAGAAAAGCTTTCGTATTTGCCAACAATGGACCTTGAATTTGGCAGTCGATGGGACTCACAGTCGCAGACCTACACCCATGGTATCGCCACCCCATTCTGCTAGGCCGGTTCTTGCCCAAGGCCACTAAGGTAGTGGCCTTGGGCCTCAAAATTTTTTTGAAAGCCCAAAACAATTATCCTTATGAAATGTACAAATTACACCTGGTACTAATATAAATTTTAATTTTAATTTTACTACCCACATTTTTTTTTATTTTGAAAGTACATTTAGTTTTTAAGGGAAAATAAATAATTTTTAATAAAGACAAATAACATAAATTAGCTTGATTATTGGAACATTTCAAGACTAATTAAAGGGCAATTTAAGGAATTAAGAAATTTAGGATTTCAAAAGACTAATTAGTTACAATAAGATATTTTTGTGTTATTTTATATAATACGTATTATATATGATATATGAAAAAAATTTATTATATCATAAAATATTCTAATTTAATGGATAAATTTGATTTTTCCTTCTTGAACATGAAAATTGATGGTCGAACTAATCAAATGGTGAGTGAGTACCATAGGTCTAATGTTTCCCATCATGAAAAAATGTTTAATTCAACAACGTTTGATGCTAATTCGCTCGTAAAAAAAATTATGTGTAAGGGCTTCATGATAATTTTTCTTCTAGTGCCTCAAAATTTTTAAGGCCGACCCCGTATTCCACCACTACTCCAGCGATGGATCTTCATCAATTGGTCCAGAATCAATTTAAGTCAACTTTGAAAGCAAAATAAAGAGAAACTCAGGATTTTTATTGATAATCACTTCTAAGTTACAAGTGTTTCATCAAATGAGATATTTTAAATATCCCAGACTTCTCTCCCCTATCCAAAGATAACTTGCACCCTTTTATAGGAAAATAAAAGACAGTATCACCCACTATCCTGTCTTGTCATCACCAGTACCGAACTGAAAAAAGTACGTTATCGGCATATCTCCATTGGTTGCTGAGGTCGGCTTTATCAGGTTATTATAAAATCGTCCTTTAAGTGGGTCCTTAACAATTAATAAGCTAGTGAATAAGCGAAGCTATATCATATGATTGGTGAAATAAGTGGGCGGTGACGTAAGTTCTGAATGCAATAATTAATTTCATTGTATATTTTATCAATGTGTAAGGAATCAATAATCATTATATTCCATGTCACCACTGATTTATACGAATTTGCCCCCACTCCTACGAAGTTCCCTCATCCCCTCATGAGACTTGGACCTCTTCTCTCTCGACATTTTGTTCCATATTTTTACGATGGTCTAAATTTTCTGGGTAAATGGTGGAGATTGGGACTGGAGTTAAAATCTCTTAACAGTCCGAACTCGCGGAGGGTGAAGATGAAGAAGTTCTACGTCTTCCTGTTGGTTGCCCCAGGAATAAACCCTAGATTCGTCCGAACTCATGCAATTGATCAAGGTGGAAATGCAGTAAAAAAGAAAGGTATTTTCTGTTAAGGAGAATACCTGGGAACAGATGACCTCACTCGGAAAATAAATAAAACTTTATAGAAAAGTTGTGGAAGAAAACCTTTACTTCTTTGAAGGAGAAATTTGAGAGTAGAAAGTGTGAAAATTAAAGGTAAGGGTAATGCTACACGTACATAAGCATCTACATAAGGATTCACATAATTACACGTGGCATATGATCCAACTTTTAATTCAAATTTCACCCTTACACATCAACAATTGGATGATTGACACATCACCATTATGTACATCATTATGTACCTCTAGCAT